TGGTCCCCACCCTTCTCTCAGAACTGGGACACAGAAGGCCCTCAGGAGTGTTTGTGGAGGGCAGTGAATGACTGCGGACCCCCTGCTGGCCTCAGTAATGTGAAGTACCTTGAATCTCCTTTTCATGCTGGAATACTCACAAAAGCAGTTTTTGAACCAGTTTCTTCATTTCTAAAATGAGGGTAACAGTACCTGCCTCACAGAGTTGTTGTGAGGATGAACTGGGATAATGTATGGAAATGCCTAGAATAGCGTCTAGACTGGGAGTGCTCAGTAGTAAAGGATGAGCACCATCATCAGTCATCCCCGCCATTATCACCTTCACCATCGTCCTCCTCCTCACCATTACCACCACCACCACCGGATCACCGCCATGATTGTCATACTCAACACCACTGTGCTCCTTATCACCACCATCATCATCCTCATCACCACAATCCTCCCCACCATAATCATCCTCATCACCATCCTCCCCACCATCATCATCATCCTTCCCACCATCATCCTCCTCACCATCACCATCCTAGCCACCCCCATCATCATCCTGATCACCACAATCTTCCCCACCATAATCATCACCACCACCATCCTCCCCACCATCATCGTCATCCTTACCACCACCATCATCATCATCGCCATCACCATCCGAGCCACCCCCATCATCATCCTGACCACCACCATCACCATCCTCATAACCACCATCCTCCCCACCATAATCATCATCACCATCATCATCATCCTCCCCACCATCATCCTCCTCACCATCACCATCCTAGCCACCCCCATCATCATCCTCATCACCCCCACCATCATCCTCATCACCACAATCTTCCCCACCATAATCATCATCATCACCCTCACCATCACCATCCGAGCCATACCATCATCATCCTCGTCACTATCACCATCCTCACCGCCATCATAGTCATATCACCATCATCATCCTCACTTATCCTCACGCCCACTGTCCTCATCACCCTCACCATCTTCACCATTCTCAACACCACTACCATGGCTGCTGCCATCTGTGTGGAGATGGTTCTGTGCTAAGATTGAGGTGCAGCAGTAGCTAACACAGAGGATACAAGGAATTCTCTAGCTCACCCCTTTCTTTTAGCCTTTTGGGGCCTTGCCATAATACTGCTTCTACCGGAAGAGAAAAATACTTTACCATCAACTCCTCCTGCCGAATGAATGAAGGATGGTCCCTACTCACTGACCTTTCTGTTATTACCCTTCATGCTTCCTTTTTGACTTCTCAGAACCAAATAGTCGTAATCACAGAATATAGTCTGTGTCTCCCCCGCAGGTGTTCCACAGAGCATTATTCCAAAAGATATTAGATGCCGGTGAGGACAGCCAAAAAGGAGAAATGTGCTCTGGGAACACTGCATTCTTTACCCCATTTTTCTAGATCCATAGTGCATATTAGTATAGAAGGGACTCTGCACTTGAGATGGCAGGTTTGAGAAATGTTGCCTGAAGTGATTCTTTCTCAGTCTTTCTAGAATTGCTGGCCTGAGACTTAACTCTATAATCCACATTTCTTTATGATAACATAAATGACTACATTTATGGACATAAGCTCTAAGGACTAAAATGCTCTTGGACATGGGGATGGGATGGTACACACAAATCTTGTCCCAACTATTACTAAGACAGAGACTAGTTCTAATCTTGGAGAACAGCTAGCACTGTGACCCACATTTTACCCAATTTCACATTTGCTCAAGACTGCTAATATTACAATAGTAACATTGGGATTGGGGAGCCACGGGGTGGTCAGGAGAAGGCCAGTTCTCCTTCTCTCTGTGCTATACATGAGGGGCAGGTAATTATGTAAGTTAATCTTCTTTTTGCTTTTGCCTTCTTTTTGAAAGAACTTTATACCACCTTCAGGACTACTTTGGGGGAATCATGGCTAGAGATGTTGAATAATAAGAGTTGAAAATCCCTCCTCTATTCTCATTTATTGTTATAAGAATGTCAAATTCATGTAGCCTCTATCAAGGGTGACTTGGCAAGGTGTAACAACAATCTTCAAAATGTCAGAGTTCCTCAAGGTGTAGCCCTGGGTGATCTCCCTCATATACTTTCTTCCTAAGTGACAGCATTCACACCTATGGCTTTAATCATCCATCTAGTCACCCATCCATCCACCCATCCATCTATTCATTCATCCATCCGTTCATCTGTCTGTCCATCCACCCACCCATCTATCCGCCCACTCCTCCATCCCTCCCATCCACCCACCATCCATTCGCCCATCCATCCACCTACCCTTCTATCCACCCATCCATCTATCCACCAACCATCCATCCCCCATCCATCCATCTGTCCATCCGTCCATCCATTCACCCATCCCCCATCTTTCCCATCCACCCACCATCTATCCGTCCATCCCCCCACCCATCCCTCTCTCCCTCCCCCCACCATCTCCCCACCCATCCCTCTCACAGTTATTTATTAAGCACCCACTAAGTGGCCCATGCTTTTCTGGCTTCTGGAGATACATCACACTAACATCTATTTCCAGATTAGACATACAGGGTGACAGCCGCATCCTTGGCACCTTATCTTGAGGCACTTCCTTCAAACCTGGTCTTCACGCAGTGTTCCTTATGCTGGATTTTAGTGAAGGAAGCATTGTTTGTCCTTTTACACAAGCCAGAAACCTGGAGGTCTGTAGACCCCTTTCTCTGTCACTTCCCTTCTAACTATATCCAATTCCACGACCAAGGCCTGTTGATTTACCTCTTAAATGCCTGAGAAACCTCTCTCTTTTCTCTATCCCACCCTTGCCCTGGAGCTACCATCATCTCTTGTGACAGCCTCCTAACTGGTTCTCTGGTGCTCTGTGATGGCCATTTTCCAGGAACATTTTCCACTCACAGCCAAGAGGATTATCTCCAGAAGCAAACCTGTTCCATCAGTTCCCTACTTAAAATCTTTCATTGGCTTCTCACTGCTCTTAGGTTAAAGCAGACCATCTTAGCAGGGCCCCGCAAGCCCACAAGGCACAGCCCCTGCTGCCCTTCCCTGCCAGTCCTGCCCCACCTCTGACCCCCATTTCTTTTAGTCCCTTGTGTTCTTCATGCTCTCCTCCCACCACCATGCAACTCTTTTTGCCCAGAATTTTCTCCCCACCCTTCTTCTCCCCTCCCCTCTTTGGCAAATCAATTCTATGCATCCTGCAGGTGCCCTGTCCTCCCTGACCAGGTCAAAGTCCCACAGGTCTCCTTTGTAGCACTTGTCACCTTCAAATTTTATGTCTGAGTGATTTTTCAATTTGCACCCACCCTCCCCTCCCCAGATCACAAGGTGTTTGAGGGCAGGAATGGTGCCTATTTTCCCCTCAATATTGTAATGTGGCAAATTTCAAACGTACAGATAAAGCTAGAGGAATTTCCCAGCTAACACCCATACACTCATGACCATGATTCCCCCTGATCCAACCCACTACATCTCTGCCCCACACAGGGCTGGTCTCTAGTAGGCACACAATAAATCTTCGTTGAATGACACTGGTTCAATGTCCTTCCACCTCTAAAATGATAAATATAAAATGAATAGGTATATGTTCGATAGCATTCACCTCAGTATTATCTAGAAGTATGGAGAACTGGAAACAACCTAAATGCCCATGATAAAAAAAAATTAAAAAAAAAAGTATGGGTAATGCCTACTCTGTGCCAGATACTTCTCTGAATACTTTACATACACCAATACATTTTAATCCTCACGACAATCTTAAGGGGTAGGTACTCCGTATTATCCTCACTTTACAGGTAAGGAAACTGAGGCATAGAGAGAATAAGAATCCTACAGCTATTTCCATGGGAAAATGCTGTGAACGTTACAACTGGACTCTAACAGTTGTGACAACATCAAATGCCGGCAAAGGACGCGGAGCAACAGGAACTCTCGTGCATTGCTGATGGGAATGCAGAATGGTACAAGCCCTATGGAGGACAGTTTGGTGGTTTCTTTAAAAACTAAGCTTACTCTTACTACAGGCTCTAGCAATCATACTCCCTGGTATTTACCCAAAGGTGCTGAAAACTTACATCCACACAAAACCCTGCACATGGATGGTGATATTAGCTTTACTCATAACTGTCAAAACTTGGAAGCAACCAGGATGTCCTTCACTAGGTGGACGGATAGATAAACCGTGGTCCATCCGGACAGTTATTCGGTGCTAAAGAGAAGTGAGTTATCAAGTCGTGAAAAGACACGGAGGGAACTGAAGCGCACGTTATTAAGTGAAAGCAACCAGTCTAAAAGGTTGTATGATTCCAACTGCATGACGTTCTGGAAAAGGCAGAACCATGGAGGCAGTGAAAAGATCGGTGGTCGCCAGGAGCTGGAGCTTGGGGGAAGGACAAATAGGCAGAGAGCAGAGGATTTTTAGGATAATGACACCATCCTGCGTGATTCGATAATGGTAGATACATGACACCTTTGTTCAAACCCAGAGAACATGCAATGCCAAGAATGAGCCCCAATGTGAAGCGTTGTCTCTGGGCGTAATGGTGCATCAGTGTAGGGTCACCACTCTGGTGGTGGGGGATGGTGATAATGGGGGACTGGGCATGTGGGGGGCAAGGGGTACAAGGGAAGTCTCTGTACAATACTTTCCATTTTGCTGTGAACCTAGAACTGCTCTAAAAATAATCTATTAAAAATTATATATATATATGCATATATATATATATATATAAAATGCTAGTTGCTTCTGAGAGATAGGATTTAGCATAATTTTGCTTTAATTTTCCTTTTGCTTGTGTCACATCTCATTTTTCTTCAGTAATCATGTCTCAGTTTTTTTTTTTCTTACCCCCAAGGAAAATCACTTCTCAAAGAAAGTCTGCAGAAGGGACTACTTGGCCACATACCTAAGAAGCTTTCCTTAACAGATGTCCCATCATGATAAGATTTAACACGACATTTGAGAGTCATGCAACTACATGAGGGAAAAAAAAAAAGGTGACATTAACCTGTGTCGGAGCTGGATAACTGGATGCCGACGTCCCGGAGGAGACGCTCCGTTTCCTCCAGCCAGGACAGCGACAGACGCAGGATGTCCAGCACCACCTTCTGGAGCCCTGAAACAGGTGGGCTCACCTGAAGGTTCTGAAGCATGTCCACCTCTTTCTTCAGGTCCTTGCTACAGCAGGACATTTTCATGCAAGCCTGGAGAGACACGAGATCATGAGGAGCCCAGATCCTGTCGCTGGAGACGGCACCCGAAGAATGGCGCTGTCGCCTTTGCTGTGAAGCAGACCATGCCCCAGGCTGGGCGCACTGGGACAGCTCCACTTTTGGGGCAGCTTTCGCTCTTTTTGTTCTTTTTTTCCACTCTAATTTGGACTTTGGATGGCCAAAGAGACCCCACTTTTAGGTATCTGTGGCAAATCGCCAAGGACCTCTGGCAGCAATGGGAGCCAAGTCTGGCAACTTCCGTTCATCAAAATTCCTGTTGAGATCAATGTCTCAGCTGGTCAGAAAGCGGGGTTTCCTGTCTCAAAAGGGTGCTGACAAGCCAGCATTTGCGCAGGCTCCCCAAATAGTAGCTGCTTATTTCCAGAGAAAGCAGAAGCAGCTGCCTGTTCTGGAAGGCTCCATTTTGGTGTGGGAGCCGTGGGGGGTTCAGGCAGACTCCTGGGCCCGTCTCCTCCAGAATCAAAAGCAAAAGAGGCACGCGTGCGTGCGCACACACACACACACACACACACAAAGACCCTAAAACAATAGCCTTTCCACTGCTGGGCCAAAAATACATATATATATATATAGCAATAATAATTCAAATAAAGGGCAGGAATGTTTCTTTGCTTTCTCTGGAAATAACAGGAGACTTACTTATTCATTCATGCGTGGCTCTGGGGCCTCCCCAAGTCAGTCCCAGAAGCGTGTCAGGCCTCTTTCCTTGGCCATACTAAATTCATCTGGGAGGCATTTTTTTGAGGCTCTTTGTTTTCTGCTCCCAAACAGATTTCTCCAACAAGAGGAAAGGACAAAAGAGAGCAGAGCGTTTCTGCCTGACCTGCTCCACGAACCCTGGGCAATTTCCCAAACCAGTAGCACAAGAGTGAGATGAAGGGGACATTTGTAAAAAGCCGAGAGAGGCCACCTGACAGCTGTCTAAAGATGCCTTCAGCTTCTCCATGTTCTCTATGATTGCCTCCTTTTTGGAATTGCTGAGCTGAGTCTCCTTCTGCAGCGTCCATTTTTTTTGCTGAAAGTTGATGTTGTCCTCAGTGACCTGGGTAATCTTCTCTATTAGCTGGTGAGAAAAAGAAAAGAGAGATTTACAGGACAGGGTGGCTCTGGGAGGGGAGCTGGGAGCGTTACTTCAAGCTCCCGGGGCCACAGGTAAGCAGGGAGGCCCTGACATGTCTTGGTGATGGCTCTGGAGGAGAATATTGGCTCTGTCTCCAGGACATGTCTCCTGCTTTTAAGAGCCAAAGATCTGTAATGTTGTCATGAGTTTGTTCATGAGTTTGTTCTAGATTCTTCTGCATGGTAGCAGTGATTTATAACATAGAACCTGATGTTGTGGGCCCGTGCTGGGTCTTCTCACATATGCATGGACACAGAGTGTTGGAAAGAAAATCAAAGAATGACAAGGCAATCATTATGGCCAGAAGTCCACCCCCATGACCATCACTTCCCTTCAGAAGGGAGAAGTGAGAATGCATCGTCTACAGAGAGGCAGCATCCCCCTTTTAAGGTGCTAACGAAGGGTAAATGTGTGTGTCTGGAGACCAGAAATAGGCCTGAGTGGTTTAATTTGATTTTCACAGAAACATTTCAAGGGAGTTTAACTGGCTTTTACTTTAAAAGCCAGGAAATCCCATAAAATCAAAACAAATCTTTATGGTGTAGCAACAGTGTGAAAAATATATACCACCAACAAAACACAGAAGCATATGCTTCCAGTGTCTGGAGTCCCAGGTCCCCGAAGGGGGAAGTGACAACGCGAGACAAACCTGTTGATCGGTGATGGGCTTGTCCAAGAACGGCTTCACTCGTCCGTAGGTGGCCTTGATGACTTGACTTCTGAAATGCTCCAGCTACAGCACAAAGGGAAGACGACACAGTGAGTGGGGCTGGTGGGAGTCCGCAAGCCCGGGTACGGCGTTTCTAGCGCCGGGGGTCCAGGAGGGAGGATGGTCCTTGCACTGCTAACGGTCATTATGGGTCATGAAAATCTTCACCTCTCACTGGAAGGGGCAGTGCCGACAGAAGAGAACAGGGCAGCAGATTTTAATTACTTTTAGGTCTGCCTGCCGAGCCCAGCAGACCCACGTGGGCAGCGTACACATGCCTTGTGCCCCGGAAGAACCACTTGGTGCCAATTATCCAGAGGGAAGTCTGGGGCCGGGAGCGTTCTTCCCTAATTGCTAAGTCGGCTCCAGGCTGTGAAATAAATATTGAAACTTCAGCCGATGTAAATGGTGTTATCAGCCCGGGTGCCTGGCGAGAGGACAATATGCTCCCTTCTGCCATTCTGGGCCTCCAACCGTCCATGTCCTGAACACCGTGTCTATTGTCTTCGTCTCCCCAGAGCCTGGTACGGTGCCTGGCAGAGTGGGCGCTCAATACATATTCATCAGATGCTCGTATGCAGAGACATCTGTCCGAAAACCGGGTCCTCTACTTCGGTTCCACCGGCTTCTATCCAGTGCCTCCTGGGCGCTGGTGTTTTCAGACTACGGCTGATGAAACAGCACAGTTAAATTAAATCGGGGCACACAGAAGTTCAAGTTCAAGGTGTCTGGTTCCCAGAGAAGTGAGAGGCAAAGAAGCCCCTTTCTCTGAGAATTTACTAACACAGCCTGGGTTTTTGGCTCACTGGCAAAATATGGTCATTGACTCTAAAACAGAAAATTACCAAAAAAATTACCCTGAAATTGCCCTGAAAATTACAAAAAAATTAAACACACAAAACAAAACAACAACAACAACAAAAAGTAAAAATGAGCCCCGAAGGGAACATAAATGCCACTGAACCAATGTAAAAGTCAGAAGGTCCTAATATGCAGGGTTTACTACATTCCGTGGGCCTCTGGGAACACAAGAGTGGACTGATGAGTCTCCGAAGGACCCCCGTGCAATCAGCCCAGGGCTGACCGGGGTGGGAGGTGTCTCGAGGCATTCCAGGCCACTCTCTGGATCCACACACAAAGGATCAAACTAGCCCAGGAAGAGGTTACGTAGAGAGAGGGCCCTGTGGATATGGACCCCCATGACCACCAGAGGCATCCAACTGCACTGCCTGGGGACAGGTCCTCTTGGTTCATGGGCTCAGTCCTGGAGCCTCTTGTTTGGGGAGGGGCAGAATCTCAGACAGGGAGCAGGGCCATGGAAATATAGGGGTGGGATGGGAAGGTGGCAGAGACAGGACTCATCCTCTGTCTCCTGGGTCTAGACCTGGAGGAATCTCAGTGTCTCTTAGGGTCCTCCCAAATGACTTCTCCCTAGAGCCATAACCTGGACCTTGGTACTTGGGCAAGAGACACAGATCATGCCTTCAGGTCAGGTTTGTGTTGGGGGCTGCAGAGCACAGGAAAGGTGGGGGTCTAGTCCAGGTGCACAAAAGGAGGCCCAGATTGGCAGACTCTCTGCCTTTGCACTGTGTTGGCACCCTGCAGAGATGACACTGGGGGTGACATCTGTTGAAGGGGCTTTAAGATCTGTCCAACAGTCAGCATCATTATTTAACTTGTGTGTGCCTCTCACAAAGCCAGGTCACGCTGCCCTGTGAAGGCTTGGAAGGGCTTTGGGAACTGGGTCTCGTGGGATAGAAGCCTCCTTTAAGGTTTTCTTGGAGGTTCACAAACCCTTCTGAGAATCCAATGGGTGACATGGTAGACCGTCCTTCCCAGAAAAACAAAAGTATGCACACACACACACACACACACACACACAATGTTCTTGGGTCCCCTGCAGCTGTCCGAGGTTGCCAGAAGACAGCCCCCCGGGGAGAAGTCCAAGGTGGGCTTCCCTCAGAGGGCCCCATTCTGGAGGGTCAGTGCCCCCCATCCTGGCTTCCCGTTTGCTCTCCCTTAGCCTTTGGTGAAGTCTTGTTTGCATGTTCTGGACCTTGCATCTGTGTCACACATAAGAGGAAGGGCCACTGGGCCACCTGGGGCCAGGATATTAGGGAAATGGCAACCCCAGAAGGGCCTGTCCGAGCTTGCTCACCACCCTGCCCAAGGACTTCCCCATCCAGAGAGCGTGCTGACATTCTGGGATCTTACTTTATCTCAAGGACACTGACTGGACACTGACTGTGACATCTGCTGGTCAACAGAGGAAGTGAGATCATGGTAAATATCAGGACAAAAAAATGTGAGGAAGAAAGTACTAGAAACACCATGGGATCAAGAGGTTCAAACTCCTCCCAACAGGGAACCACGCAGCAGGTTAACTGGGGCGGGCATGGAGCCGGGAGGGGCTGCCTGGGTCTCAGACAGTGGGGAACTGCCTCAGTGGACAGCTTCCCAGAAGCCTGTTCGAGGTGTCCACTGGGATGCAGAAGCCACACACGGCTTCTCCCCTGGGATAAGAGGGAGAATTCAACCACGGCCACTGTCCTTATGTGTCCCCACCAGTGGCTTGGGTGCAGAAAAACCCCGGGGAATGTGGGCCTCTGAAGGGGGCTCTGGAGCTGGCCTACCTGACCTACTGCCCTTTCCAAATTGACTTTAATGAGGTTCTCTCTGTTCCCCATTTCTTGTAGCTGGAGCAATTTCCTTCTGGAATCCTCCTGAAGCTTCTCTTCAACCTGAAATGACGATGAGAGCATATGCTTGCCGCTAATGTGATCATAATGCACTCCGGGAACTCCCTCCAAGAGGGCTAATGGCCATGGGGGAGTCCCTGGGAGGCAGGGGGTGCTGCAGCCCGGGTGGCAGGGGTCACAGGAGAGTGCAGGGTGGAGGCAGGCTCGCAGAAGCCACCCCCGAGGGGAGAGGGCTACGCTCTGCATGCCCAAGCTCAGGGTCTGATCCCCTCTGGGTCCCCGGCAAGCTGTGTGACCGCCGAACAGTGTCCTCATCTGTCAAATAGGGACGATGATCCCAGGTGCGCCTCACAGGGTTATTGCGGGGACTCAGAATGTTTAATAGAGTAGTGCCAGTACTTCCTGAGGGCGCTACTGGTGCATCAGGAGCTGTAATCTGTAGAAGTGGACAGAATGTCCACCAGGTGGCGTCATTCTAATGCTGCTAGGAACTGCCCCATGCTGGGTACTTGATAGATGTCATTGTTAGGCTTATTATCCTATTTGTCACTGCCACTTTTAGCACACTCACCAGTGGAAACTGGTCTAGGGGCTTGCTAAGCGGTATCTTTTAAGAATCGCAGATCGCAAAGAAGGCATTTACCCGGCGGGGGTTGGGTGGTGGAGAACCTGCCCCTTGATTCTCTGGTAATGGTCAAGGGCAGGTGAGCCGGCAGGTGCTCGATGCTGCCCTCTGCTGGCGATTATGCAAACCTGCAGCTGCGGCCTTCTTTTCCGAACCACCACCTTTGGAAGCACCTGTTGAGCTCAGGGCTCTGGCACTATCGGGAAATGAAGCAAACTCCCCTAAATGAACGTGAGGATTTTGTGCTGAAACAAATTCACAAGCTGTTTCTTAAGGGGCTGAGGGGAGGGAGAGTCACAGAAGTAATACAAAACCCAGAAGAACCCCGTAGAGCTTTCTTCTGAGCAGTGTGGCACAGGGGCTGTAGCGAGGGTACCCCGGCAAAGCTATCTAACCTTAGCTTCTTCCATGTACGTCCTCCCCCCACCCCCCACCCATCTAAACATGCTCTGACGTCTATCTCAGCAGACTTTCTCATACGCTGCGAAAGCCAAGTCCAGCCTGGATTCTGCCTTTAGCTACGCTCCCCATCTAATGAACAGCCCCCCCCTACCCCTGCCCCAGCCTTTGGGGTCTTCCTGCGCTGCCACTGCACTCTGTCTCTCATGCCCAGCAATCCCCAAGCCTGTGGCTCCGACCCCTCTCATCTCCAGTCCTCATCTCCGTCCTTCTCCTGGCGAGCCCACCACCCCCACCGTCAGGCACTGGGGACCTCTGGTGGGTGATGAGTGGCCTCCACCTTCTCGTTTGCTTCCTCCCACCACGTTCTTCATGGTGCTGTGCCAGTTACCAGGCTGTGGAGCAGCTCGGTCTGCCAGAACTTTCTGCCGTGATAGCAATCCTCTGTGTCTGTGCTGAGTGGTAGCCATATCTGGTTCTCAGGCACTTGAAATGCGGCTGGTGTGACCGAGGAACTCAGTTTTGAATTTTACCTAGTCTTGATTAACTTCAGTGTGAAGAGGCACATGTGGCTAGTGGCTATGCCCCAGTGACTGAAGCCGGACCAACACGGCCTCCGGTCTAGGCTTCACCTCCTACTGACAGGGTGGCTGGCCATGGCCTGGTTACCTAACTAGTGACTAGGAGACTTGATTCCCTCATGTGCAAAATGGAGAGGATAAATGTTGGAGAGAGATGAAATATTTGGCATAATGCCTAGTGCACAGGAAATAGCTATTGTTTTCATCATCCTCGTTATTATTTTTATAGGATTTTATTTATTTATTTGATCGAGAGAGCGAGAAAGAGCACTAGTAGGGGGGCAGGCAGAGGGAAAGGGAAAAGCAAACTCCCCACTGGACAAGGATACTCATGCGGGACTCAATCCCAGGACTGCAGGATCATGACCTGAGCTGAATGCGGACGTTTAACCAACCGAGCCACCCAGGTGCCTTTTACCATTATTACTGATCACAATGTAATCACACCAGTGCCCTGTTCAAAATCTTTCAGCAGCTTCCCGCTTGCCTGTGTGGTAGGTCACCCGAGTGTCACACCAATGCAAAACACCCAGTCAAGGACTCAAGAAGCCCATGTGAATGCCAAACAAGGTAAACGAAAATGAATCCACGCCTAAATAATCATAATAAAGCTGCTAAAGGGCGCCTGGGTGGCTCAGTGGGTTAAGCCTCTGCCTTTAGCTCAGGTCATGATCTCAGGGTCCTGGGATCGAGCCCTGCATCGGGCTCTCTGTTCAGTGGGGAGCCTGCTTCCTCCTCTCTCTCTCTTTGCCTGCCTCTCTGCCTACTTGTGATCTCTCTCTGTCAAATAAATAAATAAAATCTTTAAAAAAAAATAAAATAAAGCTGCTAAAAATCAAGAGAAAAGAAAATCTTAAGAGTGGCCAGGGAAAACAGATTACACAAAGGCATGAGAGTTAGGCTTCTAAATGACTGAAGTAGAAACAACAGGATCCGAGAGACAAGAGAATGATGGACAGGTAATGCTACTTGTAATGCGCAGGGAGAATGTCATCGTCAATGCAGAAGTCAATCCTCAGTCAAAATGTGTTTTAAGAATGAAGGTTAAGGGGCGCCTGGGTGGCTCAGTGGGTTAAGCCTCTGCCTTTGGCTCGGGTCATGATCCCAGGGTCCTGGGATCGAGTCCCACGTCGGACTCTCTGCTCAGCAGGGAGCCTGCTTCCTCTACTCTCTCTGCCTCTCTGCCTACTTGCAATCTCTGTCTGTCAAATAAATAAATAAAATCTTAGAAAAAAAAAAGAATGAAGGTTAAATATTCATTTCCAAAGATGCATATGCAAAAATCTCAGAGAATCTGTTATCAGCACAGCCATGCTGGAGGAAAACACTGAAGGGTGTTCTTCAGACAGAGGAACAACGATCCCATATGGATGGTCAGAGATGCAGAAAAGACCAGAAGGAAGGTAACGTGTGGACATGAATATTGACTATAGAGAAATAGTGATAAGGTCTTCCAGATTAGTCTATGGGACACCTGGGTGGTTCATTCAGGTAAGCATCTGACTCTTGATCTTGGCTTGGGTCTTGGTCTCAAGAGTCGTGAGTTCAGGCCCTGCATTGGGTTCCATGCTGGGCACAGAACCTACTTAAGAATAAAACAAAACAAAGGGAATAGTTTAGAAAATGACAACAATGGCATACAAATCTGGAGGGGTGAGCCAAGTCAGCGTTCCGTAGTCATTGCCTTACCAAGGAGAAGGGGACAATTATCAAGTAATGTCAGGTCTTGGTAAGTCAAGAATGCAGATTATAGCCATTAGGTTGACTGTCAAAAAACAGTTAAAGAATGAGAAACTCAATTACTACTGGATTTTGGTAAGTCAAGGCTGAATGCTATTGTCTTGCTATTTACTAAAAGAGTAGTAAAAGAGGAAAGAATTTCCAAGCTAATAGAGAGAAAAATGGAATGACAGAAAAACACTAACTCAAAAGAGGGCAAGAAAGAAAAGAAAAAGGAGCATCACACAGATTGTACAGCTGGCACTGAGCAGGAAGGTAGATTTAAACCCCAGGAAACCAGTGACCACATTATGTATAAATGGACTAAAAGACAAAGATTGTCGAAGTAGATTTCACAAAGATGATATGGTATTTAGAAGAGATGTGTCTAAAACTTAAAACAAAGATTTATAGAAAAATAGGAAAAAGACATGCTATGAAAATTCTAACCAAAAGAAAAACCAGTGTGGCTACCAATTATATATATTTTTGAAGATTTTATTTATTTGAGAGAGAGAGAAGCAGAAGGGGATGGAGAGGGACAAGCAGACTCTCCACTGAGCGCAGAGCCTGATACTGGGCTTAATCCTAGGACCCTGAGATCATGACCTGAGCCAAAACCAAAAGCTGGATGCCAACTGAGCCACCCAGGTGCCCCACTGCCGGAATTATATTAATGACAAAGTAGATTTTAAGGGGAAAACACTACTAGAGATGAAGAGGGATATTTTATGATGATCAAAGGGGTTTTTTTTTCCCCCAAAGAGAAGTGTTAAATTCTAAATGTATAGGCACCTAGTAACACAGTCTCAAAATATACAAAGCAAAAGTTGACAATACTAAAAGTAGCCACACACAAATGCACAGTATATTTAAAAAAATATATACCTCTTCAACGTATAGATAGAACACATAGCCAAAAACATCAATAAGAGCATTTAAGTTTGAACAACATCACTGGCAAATCTGATTTTAATGGATCAATTCTCTTCTGGATAAATTTTACCAGTTAAGAGTTGAAGTCAGTCGAGACTAGTGGAGACATACAGGAGCACTGGAGTCAGACAGACCAAACGTGAACAGCTACTTTATCTGCGAGCACTTGGCTAACATCCTTTACCTCTGCGAGCCTCAGTTTCTCAGCTGTCAAGCGGGTTTAATACCAGTATTGACCACACGGAACCGTTGTGAGATTCATGGGGATGATGGGTGTGGAGAGCCTGGCCCAGAGCGGGCACTGGGCCACACCGTCCTCGTCTTACCTTGCTCTTTTCTCGAAGTGTCTTGGAGATCACGTTCTGTTCGGTACAACTCTTCTTCAGCTCTTCCCTGAGCTTCTTCATTTCTTTCTCCATGTCTTGGATTTGCTGAAAGAGTTTCAACAATAGGAAATCAACTTCCCTAATGGGAAGTAGGAGTTGCCTTCTGGGCTGAAAATTCTGAATCTCCGTAGCTCATTTCATTGGGTTCATTAAGGCAGAAACCTAGTCTGGTATTAGTTTAATTGCTTCCCTTGGGGGAAAATTCTACATCCGTGGGGCAAAGTAGATATTTTTTTCAATGGATGTATGGGAAACTGGGTAAAGGGAAATGATTAGCTTCTTTTTTTTTTTTTTTTTTTTTTTTTAAAGATTTTTTATTTATTTATTTGTCAGAGAGAGAGAGAGGGAGAGAGAGCGAGCACAGGCAGACAGAATGGCAGGCAGAGGCAGAGGGAGAAGCAGGCTCCCTGCTGAGCAAGGAGCCCGATGTGGGACTCGATCCCAGGACACTGGGATCATGACCTGAGCCGAAGGCAGCTGCTTAACCAACTGAGCCACCCAGGCGTCCCATGATTAGCTTCTTTTGAAAATCAGCATGGATCCTGGACAGTACAAGATATCTATCAACTCATTAAAAGCTCTTCTCCGGGGGTATATTTTTGAGATCAATCTAAATAAGGGCTCCTTGGATGAAACAACGGACGCGGTTTGGAAGGACAGAACAACGAAATTTTTCTTTTCTCCCATTTCGAGGCAGAGAATAGCAATGCTCCTGGCACAGAGAACGGGCATCTCCTCCCCGTATCTAAGGCTCCGTACTTCCCAGCGAATGGAAACTCACACCATTGCTGTTGTGCAAGAGGATTCGGTGGGCACAGGGAATGAACATTTTCATTTTAGTGCTCGTAGTTTGTTATTTATTTCCAAAGTCATCATCTAAGGCAAACGACACCTTTTCTTTTCTTTTTTTTTTTGCACATTTTAATTAATTAATTTTTAAAAATAAACATATAATGTATTTTTATCCCCACGGGTACAGGTCTGTGAATCGCCAGACACCTTTTCTTTTTGTTTTTATGAATTGCTGTAACATTGGTATATTTCCACAAAAATATTTCTGGAAGGACTCTGTGTTATTAACTGTGCCCATGCCTTTGATACACTCTGACAGTGGAAGATGACGCTTTGGGCACCACGGGTCCAGGGTGCGTCCCCCGCCCAGCCCCAGGGGGAAGGCACCCACTGCCCAGAGAATGCTGGGAGAGTGTGTTTTTTTATGGTATTTTCAGCCATCTCTTCCTTGAGGCTAGAGGCAGCATTTCAGAGAACTAGGTGGTTAGGTTAACACTAAATCATTAAAGCCCCACAGCCTGTGCTACCTAATGGGCCAAGGAATCCCTTCCCGACCCACCCCCAAGAACCCTTGAAGGTCGAAGTCTAGTCGTTCTGGGGATACCTGGCAGTGAGGAGGCTCAACTCACGATTTTGCAGAGTTTTAATTCTTTCCCTTGGGCTTCTTGGTACTCCTTGTGCGCATCTTCCTTCCGTAACTCTTCTTTCAGCACGGAGCACTGTGGAGAGAACCGACAGCAAGACCACGTGGGGTTGTCCGTGGGTCCCTAGTCCCCGTATTTGCCCCGAGTGCGTTTCCTGTTGCTTCAGCCAAATTCACTCCCCCAAATTCTCAGAAGCGAGGCCGCTTGCGTCCAAGGGACGCCCGGGACCCTGCAGCAGTTCCTAGTCACCCTTCTCATGAGCTCTGGCGGTAACGTGTGTAAATTCTTCCTCAAGGGGCGCCTGAGTGGCTCAGTGGGTCAAGCCCCTGCCTCCGGCTCAGGTCATGATCTCAGGGTTCGGGATCGAGCCCCACGCGGCGCTCCCTGTTCGCGGGGAGCCTGCTTCTGAGCCCTCTCCTCCTAACTCTGCCCCCCTCTCTCAAAATAAATGAATAAAACCTTTACAAATATATATAAATGTGGATTTCTAGGGTAGTATTTTCTTTCTTATCCCTCCAGTTTTGCTTCTCAGTATCACCTACTTCTTTTTCCCTAAAATTCACACGCATTAGGGCTGCCCAGGGCCGCCAGCTTGGGGGCAGGGGCCTCTGTGCTAAGGGCAGGCACAGGCTGGCAGAGGGCAAACACCTCATGCCGAGGTCAGTGAGGAAGGGGAAACGAGGAGAAAAAGAATCCGAATGTACTTCAGGAAGCAGAACAGTCCAAACGCGGACGTTCTTCCATATCTCTTCCACTCAACACCAGCTCTGCAACCCGTCCTCTCTCCAACACGCATGCGCAAGCACGCACGCACGCACGCACGCACGCACGCATGCGCCCCACAGAAAGCCGTGGTCCTGTGGGGCTGGGCAGTCAGTCGGCCGGTTATGGTCCGGGCTCAGCCAGGCGGCTGAGCAGGTGCAGAGGCCGAAGAGCCCAACTGAAGTGAGCCTCTCACGTCTCCGAAAATGGGTTTGTTATCCCCATTTCTTAGATGTGGAAACAGAGGCCCAATATGCTACGAGAAAGGAAAGCTCTGGGATTGGCTCCTGGTCCCTCCGACGCCAAAGCTCGCGCTCTGCATCTTCTCTGTCCCACACTGAGTGTCGGACTAAGCACCTAATGTTACTTCCTGTGCCTTTTCTTTGGAACTGCGAGTTCTAATCCCCCCACATCCCTGCAGACAGAGCTACCCGACCAGGCAGCCACCGGAATCTCTGAGCTGCCTCCCCGAGATGACAGCTGTTGGGTTTTACCTCGACTCATGGAAACACACAGAGCACACGCATCCTGAGAAGTCTTCATCTACAGGCTCAGGGTTCCAAAGTCAGGACTGAAACATCATTTGTAGAGTCAAAGTTACACTTTAAAAGTTCTTTACCTTGCAGAGAACCTGGCCCCTTGCCTTTAGTCTCTCCAGAAGGGCCTTTGGTGTTTGGGGCCGCCCAGCAGCTGTCCTCCCTGTGCCTTCCCTATGCCCTTGGGCACCGGCATGGTCTTGCAGTGGTGGGAGAAATGGGAGTGACATTGAAAGCCGGGGTCCGGGGTACGTGAGATAAGTCATAGGACTCTGACCTGCTTTTCGGGGACAGCTACAAGGATGATGATGGCACCCCAACACTCACCCTGGAGCTGAGGGCTTCAAGCTGGTGATCCTTTTCTTTGTTCTCGCTTTTTAGTTGGTTCACCTCCTGTTTGAGTCGTTCGATTTCCTCATCCTTTGTTAACAATTCTTTCTGCAATGATGACACCATCCCTGTAAAAAAATAAAATAAAAAATAAACAAAGACTCTCAGAGCTCAAAGGGGCAGGAGGGATTACTGTTGCCACAGCTGTCAGCCACCTTGAGGCCGAGTCCCTTCTGAACCCGGGCTGTCCCTGGTCCTTGCTTGCAACTGAGGAGCTTGTGTCCAGGCTCCCGGAGCTGGGCCAGGGATGACACTGAAATTCGTGGAACAGTGATTAAGACCTCAGTGAGAACAAGAAGTCAGCGAGTATTGCCAGGAAAAGAAAAGCCTGTGGGTTTGGGCTTGGCAGGAGTGTCCACACCATAGACCTGGAGAACAAAGGCTCAGTGCAGGGAAGGACCAGGAATTTTTCACCAGAGGCCATAAAAAGTCTTGTGGTAGAAGAAGGGTGTGAGAAGGGTGGCTGGATTCACACTCAGACCTGAGTTTGGAACACATTTCAACCACTTAGTAGCATGGCATTCTTGGACAAGTTATTTCCCCTGTAAGTATCTTTCACTGTATCTCCCCCATGGAGTTGTTACAAGGGTTAAAGACCTATAAAGAACATAGGAGAGTGGCTGAGCCATAGCATTTGTTACAGGTACCTATTATTTTTTATGGTAGCCGGCTTCTAAAATGGCCCCAGTGATCTCAGCCTCCTGGAATTCCTGCTCTGGCACAGCCCTCTCCCACCATGAGTAGGGCTGACGTGCGGAACCAGTGTGATATTGTGGAAAAGATGGACTGTGACTTCCTAGATGGGTCATAAAAGATATTGCGGCTTTCTCTTTGCTCTTTGTTGGATCACTCGCTCAGGGGAAGCCAATCACCATATTGTGAAGATGCTCAAGCCGCCAGGGGAGAGGCCCACATTCTGGGGAATGGAGGTGTCCAGCCGACAGCCGCGTGGACCAGCCATTCTGGAAGCAGATCCTCCAGCTCCCGCTGGGGCTTTAGATAAGGTGACAGTCACCCCCGCCAATGTGTTGACTGCCCCACATGGGAGACCTTGCAAACCAAGTCACCCACATTCCTGAGCTCCAGAAGCTGGATGAGATGATAAATAGTGGCTGTTGTTTTACTTGCTAACTTTGGGGATAACCGGTTATGCAGCAGGAGATAAGTAATACATTACTGAACTTTCATGAGTGAGGACACGTGGGAAGAAGGGTGCAGAAATGCTGTGGGACTGGATGAGCTCACGTGTTTCTCTTCTCAGAAGAATATTATGCCCAATTTTATTGGTAGCTGTCAATCAGAAAAGTATGTGAAATAAAGGAAAAGTGATCCAGAATTTCATTTCAACAGTAAGCTCTGTCATAGGACATGGTGAGGTTATTTTGAAACAGGTTGATCCCTTTGGGGCTTGCCTTCTGGCTTTGTGAGGTGGGACCAGAGCAACCTTTAGTCTAGAGGTGATGGGGCCTCATGACTAAGCCAACACCTTTTTTTTTTTTTAAATATTTTATTTATTTATTTGACAGATAGAGATCACAAGTAGGTAGAGGCAGGCAGAGGGGAGGAAGGGAAGCAGGCTCTCTGCTGAGCAGAGAGCCTGATGCGGGGCTTGATCCCAGGACCCCGGGATCATGACCTGAGCCGAAGGCAGAGGCTTTAACCCACTGAGCCACCCAGGTGCCCCCAAGCCAACACCTTTTTGACTCTCTACCAGATACCCTGTGTATTATGAGGCCTCTCCCTTCTGGAGGCTGGGAAAATGAACCATTCCTACCCTGTGTGAGCTTCGAGATGGTTCCCTCTGCTCCTGTTGGGTTTTCTTTCCCTGCCCACATATGTGTGCTGCTCAATACTCAGCTGAACACTGGTGGGGGACCCTCTAAAGATCACTGGGGCTCTCTCTGTGTGGCTTCTCCTCTCGGGCACGCTGCCCAGTGCCCTGTAGCTGTGTTGGCTTCTCCAATGCTATCCCCTCAACATGGGGGGTCCTCTGGGCTCTGCCTGGAGTCTCCTTCCTGTGCTGTGGTCTGGAACCCCTCTGTGGGCACTAAGCTGGGGCAATCATGGGGTTTCTGGTTTGTTTCCTCTCTCCTGGATCATGGTCACATGAAAATAATTACTGCAGATTAATTTTTTCTTTTTTTGGTTGCTTCAGGCAGAAAAGCCTGAAACCCAGAGTCTCTGTCATTCCGTCTGCCCTGTACATCTTTCCTGCCTCTCTCATTGCAGAAGCAGGTGTGGTGATGGCCTCTGTGAGCCTGGTCCCTGAGTGGCTACAATGAGCAAAGCCCCGGCTAAGCCAAGATGGACACCAAGGTGGAGGCAAGACATGAGCCTGCCTGTTATAAGCCACTGAGCCTCAGGGCCCATTATTGCAGTGAAACCCAGCCCTGTGCTTCTGGAACTTGAATGTGCGTATGACACCCCGGGGATCTCCCCAATGTGCAGATGTCCCTTCAGGAGGTCTCGGCTGGGGCCTGAAACTCTGTGGTTCTCCCCAGGACCCAGCGCAGGAAGGGCTCAGGAAATATATGAGGACAGGGAAGAGCATGAACAGGCCTGGCAGGTGGTGGCGGTAGGGGCGGGAAGTTGCAGAGTGAGGCGGAGGAAAAGCCTGGAGGTGAACCTGCTGGGGGTCAGGCAGTCCCGGCACAGGACTTCGAATTCATAAAGTGATGGATGGCCATTCACCTGTGCCTCAGCATTACGCTCACTTGGTCTTTGCAGCTCTGGATGCGTTTCCTGCTGTGTAGCAGGTGCTCTGAGAGCACTGTGCCCCATCCAGACTCACTGCCTGCTCCCCCTCGCCTGCCTCCCTCCCTCCCCTCTTTCTCTGTTAATGGCCTATCCTTCTCAGGCATGTGATTTCTCTCTAAAAACCCCAGGGGCTCCCCATCCCCCTTAGAATAAAACCCAGACTCCTCCCTGTGACTTGCCTCCCTCTCTGACCCTGACCTCCCCCCAGTCCCATGTTTACCCCACTCCAGCCACACTCACCTTTAGCTCCTCCCATGCCCCCAGCTGGCCCTAGCCTCAGGCCCTTTGCACTTGTGGTCCCTGTGCCTGGAACACTTTTCCTTCTGGCTTCCTGACTGTTCTTCCCTTTCACCTTTTCAAAGACCTGTCCTTGCCCACCCACTAAGCTCTTCTCCCTTCACTTTCACCCCTGAAGCACTTTGCTCCCACACTGGCCAGTTTTCTCTGAAACAGTCTTATTTACCTGTTTACTTTTTTGGTGTCTGTCCCCAACTTGCAAATATGAGCCCTAGGAGCACAGGAACATTGTGCTCAGGGATGTCTCTCCCTGGCACCTAGAACAGGGCCTTACACCTAGTAGGTGCTCAATTAACACGTGGAATGAATGAAAGGATCCAGGGTAAGAAACGGCTGGCCTCTGGACAGTGTGTTGTGTCCCACCCCAAGGTCTATAGTGTGCAGCCCCCTCTGCTGGCCAGTTAGGAAATGTTTTCACCCGGACCCAAGGGCACCAGGTGCCCTCATGCGGTGACCCCACTCTGTCCACATTCCAGCTTGTACTGAAGGCAAGCTGGCTTCTGGAACTGCCTGAGCCACAGGGTGTCCTGTGTTCTCCCTGGTGAGCCTGGCGCTCGCTAGACACATAACTAAGTGATAACCTTCCCTCAAATAGTTAAAAAGGCCCTGCCCTAGGAACTGGATGGCAAAAATCCTCTCTTGAGGGCTGCCTCCAACTCATAGACACAGGCCACTCAGAAGACCTCTCGGACTGCACCCCAGATCAGTGAGCAGCGGTGTGGTGGTTGATTGGTGATGTCTGCTGTGGCCAGGGAATGAGGAGGATGGGGCAGCTCTCAGGCCCACATCAGAGAGAGCTCACCTGAGGTGATGGCTTTGTCCCTCCTCAAGTTCTCACCCTCATTCTTCAGGGATGTGATTTCTGAGTTCCTCTCAGACAGTGTCTGGCACAGCACCTGGCTGTAGCCTTTCTGCAGGGCACTGATCTGTGGGAGGAGGCAACACACAGTCAGAGGGGGCCAGCCCGGGTGTATGGGATACGTGGGTACTTCTCCCCGTTTGGACAACAGATTTGGATTGATCTTTGGTGGGGAGCTGGGAACACCGAGCTTTTTAGTTTTAACTGGTAGAAGGTACAAGAGAGGAGCTGTTCTTCAGCGACCACCATGTCATATGGGATGAAAACGATCCCTAATGTGCCTTCCTACCACCTTTGGACTCTCGGCCAGAAAGAGACCAGCTGCTGGTCCCATCCAGCACCGACCAGATGCAGAGCAAAGCTCATGAGAGGGAAGCAGGTTATAAAATTAACTTCCTCGAATGAGAACAACGGTAGCTTTTATTTCATAGAACACTCCAGAGCTCGCTAAGCCCTTTCCCAGATGCTACTCCCATCGCTCCTCACAGCATCGCAGGAGGCTGAGGGTTCCCCACCAATGCTCCCATTTTGCAAGCGAGCAAACTGAGTCTCACAATGGTGAGGATCCCACGGCTGGCACAGGTGGAGTTAGGATTCAGCTGGTCTCCAGGCGCCCGGTTCCAACCTTGCCGGGTGGCTCTAGGCACCAGAGTGCGGGCTGCCGGCTGTAAAGCACAGCATGGACTTGGGAGCCTGACTCTGGGTGTCTGTTGCTGCTCTTTACAGCTGATGATGAACACAGGGAGGACACCAGATTGTGTCTCACTGTTTCATTAAGTGGGGTGATGGCAGTCCCAATCAGAGGATTGTGAAAAGTATTTTAGTAAGTTAGCTTATGTACAAGAGCTCGGATCGTGCCTGGCACACGGCAGACAGGTGGTAGCTGTGACTGTCCTCTGACCTCACTACCCAGGTGTGAGCTGCAGCTCCTCGAGTCAACCCTGCAGCTCCTTGTCAACCCTCTTATCCTGCTGGAGGAAGGGGGGCAGCCCGTGAGGGCGCGGAGACCTTTGCCAGCAGATGGCGCTCACGGTCCTTGTTTTCGGCTTCAGTCCCTGAAAACCTTGTCATTCTCACTCTGGGAGAATGAACAGACTGAACAAGGGTTCACAAGTTCCCTGGCTCATTTCAAGCACCATCATTGTTCAGATTCTATGACAGCTGGGTGCGGTAGGTACACGTGCTTTTTCCCTGGGGTATCTGAGATATTGGGAAGAGGACACCTGCTGGAAGGTGGAAGGGCACGGGTGACTCTGTCCCCCACCCTCCCCAAGGCTATACTTTTGCATGTTTGTGCTTTTGAAACTTGGAGTGAAAACGTTTCTTTCACCTCTTACTGTTCTCTGTGGGGGACATGCAGCTTTCCCATAAGAGGTTCTTGGGATAATTTTTAAGAGTGTTTCTAGCTCTTCTCAGCTTCGTGCTTTTAATTGCAATGATACCAGAGGCACAGTGCAAAGAAAAGAGCTTCTAGAAGGGCTTGTGTGGAGGATTTTTGTTTGATGAAGTTCCCTACAAGTGAGCCAGCAACTGCCTTGGGGGTTGGGTTTGGAAGATGGGGATTCCTCCTCCCCGTCTCCAGCGGACTGCCCGGAGCTCTTTCTGGCTGGGGCTGGGGTGGGGGGTGAGAGTCACTGAGGCAATGGAGCTGGGTAGAGGCAGCAGGTGGGGTGAAAGCATAGGGTCTGCGAGGACGAGGACGCACACCTGCGTTCAACCTGCCCCGCCCCCTCTAACTTGCTGTGCGAACTGAGCAAGTTCCCGGGAGGCTCTGAGCCTGCCTTGGTCTCCTCATCTGGAGAATGGTACGTGTCAGAGGGCCGTGGGGTTTAAGTGAGCCAATGCATCTACCAAACTTGCACCAAAGCTTGCTCCTTGTAGGTGCTTAACAAAAGTGAACGTGGTTCTCCTGGGCTGGGAGCCTGCCACGCCCCTGATTCCCGGGATGTGTGCTCATACCACGGGGCACTGCGCTGACCTCCCCTTTTCTATCTGGGTGACTCCCCTTGGTGCTTCCCTGGCTCTCCCCCACAGCTGTCGCCCTGGGTCCCGACTCCAAGGCCTCCACCACCTTGTCTCCGAGTCTACCTACCTGGTTTTTCAAGCTCTGGATCTCTCTGTGTTTGGCATCGATGTCCTCATCCAGATCCTGCAACCGACTCTGCCTGGACGAGGTGGACTCCGACAGCCTCTGGCTCAGGCTGGCCACTTCATTCTGCAGCTTCGCTATCACTGCATCTTTGTATTTGGATTTAAGTTCAAAATCCGAGAGGCGGCTGATTTCTTTCCCCAGCAGCAGAATGATTTCATCCTGGGTGGCGGCCAGATGGGGTGTTTACTAGGTGTGGGTCTGCCGCAAGGGTGAGCCCATTTTTAAAAATGCAGGGAAAACGCGGTGCGATTCTTTTGGGAGGGTGAGGGCAGGTGGGAAAGGGAAGAAAAGCAGACTTTCAAGGTTATCTCCATCACTTGGAAAACCTCACAGAGACAAGAGTTTGGGGAAAATGATACACTTGTATACAGACTCCTGTAATAGGTGTTTATACCTCACAGGCACTGAAAATTTCCTTTCCTGTAAAATTACACTTTCATGTTGAGAACAACGGCCCCACCTGGGAACGTTTATTGCTAGGGAGTTTATTTATAATATTTTTGTTTATAATATTCAGCCTAGCGCAGTGGGGACCCAGGAAAGGTTGCGAGGAAAATGATATTCTAGTTGGCCACATCCTGCGTATAATGAAGACTATTTTTTAACTTAAAAAATTTAATAAATTCTGAAATATTTCTTTCCCCTTTCCTCCCTTACGGTACTTCCTGCCTCTTTGCGTTATTGACATAAAAACTTACTCCATGTAACTGAGTCTGTAGAGTAAATAAGTAGGAGTAGGGATTTATTCGTGTGGGCTCATGTCAACTTTTAGTTGGGGAAAACAAAATTGCCTACCGACTTTACCAACAGGTATAATTTTTTTTTAAAGATTTTATTTATTTATTTCGCAGAGAGCCATCACAAGTAAGCAGAGAGGCAGGCAGAGAGAGAGGAGGAAGCAGGCTCCCTGCTGAGCACGGAGCCTGATGCGAAGCTCGATCCCAGGACCCTGAGATCATGACCTGAGCCGAAGACAGAGAGCCTTAACCCACTGAGCCACCCAGGCGCCCCTACCCACAGGTATAATTAACCCAGTTCTCCAGCTCTCCAAAAGAAAGAGCTCGGCCGCCAAAGAATTTGTTAGGCTTCCCCCCAAAAAGAAAAAAAAAATCCCCCTAACTTCTTAACAGAAATCATCAAAAAAACATAAAAAAAAACCCGAAACACAAGTCCCCAGGTATATCTGCAAACGTAGCTACAGAATTTCTGCTTTTAAAGTAGTCCCTGCTCTTCCAACAATTTCCCACTGGTTGGAAGGAGGTAAATGAGTAATTTGTAGGCCAACTCATTTCCTGGGGAGCTTTATCCAATCAGCTCCACGACCTTCTGGCTCCCCAGCCCAAGGAAGGACTGGGTTTCTGCTGTGAGGAAGCTTCTTTGGCATTGCCAGTTGCCGCCAAGGATCTTTCTTTGAATCCCTGCAAATGCTTGTGGCAAAATTTCAGGGCAGAGCATCAGATTCTGTACTGGGCAGCCGTGCCTGTTTCACCCAATTAAGTCATGCAATAAACGTTTATTGAGCAGCTACTATGTGCCAGGCCCTGTGCTGGGCTCTGCAGTATAAAGAAGCCTGTAAGGTGTGCTGTGCAGATCCAGTTGCTGCCTTTCTGTGAGGCCCCCAAGCTCTTCCTTGAGAGAGGGGTCCCCCTTCCATGTAGTCTTGGTAGGACTGTCAATCATGTGCCCTGCTCTTTCCTGTCCCCGCCCTCCTGCTCCTTGGGCGTGACCCAAGCTGGTCAAGCAGGGTTTTCTCAGAGATTTCACGCATCCATTACAGAGGGAGAGGATCGTGCCTCCTTTTGGAACACAAACTTTAAATTTATGGGCTTATGTGTCTGAGTTTGTCTTTTCCAGCACAGGAAGCCTGTGTGCTGTAGAGAGCCAAACACAGAGGGAAACAGAAGGAAGAGATCAGTAGTAGGGACTGTTTTGATCTCGCTTAAGTTCCTGTATTTAGCCATCCCTGAAGCTAGTAGGCTTTTAAATTTTCAAGAAGATGATTCAATAAATGCCTTTTTTTTTTTTTTTTTTTTTTTTTTTTGCTTAAGCCAATTTGTTTATTGGCACCTGCATTTGAAAGAGTCCTGGAAAGTCAGGGCAAAAATGGCTCATAAATAGAAAAAAAATTATAAATGCGGTTGCATTCTATTTCCAGTTTAAAACTGGGGAGGACTGAAAAATGACCACAAATACTTTGCAGCTTCTGCGCTTAAGAGGTAGAATCGATTTCCCCATTCCCTAAGTCTGGGCCGGTCCTGTGTCTTGCTTTTGACCAATAAAATGTGGCAGACGTGATGGGCAGCAATCTCCAGGCAAGTTCTTTAAGGCCATACGGCGTCTGTCCTGGCCCTCCGGGAAACCTGGGGCCGCCACGCTGTGAAGCAGTCCCAGATGATAGACCATGTGCAGGGAGAGGCCCATCACTCCAGCCATGTTGGCTCAGGTTCCAGACATGGGAATGAGGCCATCGGAGACCACGGGCTGGGCCATTTCACTGGCTGACTACAGTTGCATGAACGAGGTCAGGGGACACAAGCAAAAGAACATTCCATGTCACCCTGTAGATTCTGGGAACTCACAAATTCCTGTTTTTTGTTTTTTGTTTTTTTTTGGAGTAGGCTTCACACCCCACATGGGGCCTGAACTCATGACCCTGAGATCAAAAGTCACATGTTCTACTGATTGAGCCCACCAGGTGCCCAACAAATTGCCACTTTAAGCCACTAAATTTGGGGGTGGCTTGTACACAGCAAGAGAGAACTGGTAACAGCGTCCGGCGAACCTGGCTTCTTCCCTCACTGCAGCACTTCTCCAAGGCCTGGTCCGGGGACACCTGCCACCTGAGGTTGCGGATTCCCACGCCTAGCCTGGACCGTAAGCGGTTCTGCTCCTCACAGACTCGGAGAATTGCTGCAGGCTCAGGCCCTGGCCTTTAAGGAAAGTAAGTTATCGCGGGACTGCTTCTTTTAGGATAATTTTAGTTTGTGTTGATGCAGGGAGAAATCAACCTGGACCCTTCCCAGCAGGGCTTGAATTCACTTGCTCTGGCTCCCATTCCCGTTTCATTCTAAACCTCTCCCATCCTTCAACAAGCCTCTGTCTTCGCTCAGTCCTCGGCCTTGTTGCTCACTTCTTCCTGCCAGGGAACATGTTTTCCCCGACACTGTCCCACCACTCATGGCTGACCAATCGGTTCCTGTGTGGGAGTCAGGAGCACCAGCTGCAGGTTAACCAGGCCCAGTTTTGAATCCCAGCTCTGCCCCTCACACTGTGCAACCTTGGGCCACGTACTGAACCTCTCTGAGCTTTGGCTCTCTCCTTTGTAAAGTGAGGGTGATAACATTTATTTTGAAAATGGTGAAGATTCCTGAGCTAATTGAATGTCCAGGGCCCAGGACACGGTCTAGCACACAGTAGGTGCCAATACTTTGCGCTCGTAGATGTTGTTATTTGGGATAAAATGAGCAGTTACCAAACCTTTGGTTGAATGCCCCGGGAGTAAAAGATGGTTTCTTAGAAGTAGTTTAAAAAAAAAAAAAAAAAGGCACTTCTAGACCATAGAGAACAAGAGGCAATCCCTTTGCAGTCTCTCTTGCTGCTGTAGCTCTGTCCTTCCCAAGAGACCCCTCACCTTATCCTGTTGGGCTGTGTCCTGGTCCACATAAATATCCCTGGAAGGTCCCATCCTGGGAACTCCATCGACCACTGACGGTTCCGACAGTTCCACAGCATTGGTCCACACTAATGCACAAGATCAACAGAGAGCACACAGGACATTGTGAGTGTCCCTGAGGTCTAGAAGGATCTTTCTAGACTATCTTCATAATTCTTTTCCTGCTGTTATTAAAAATGGCAAAGCAGTGTCTTCGTTCATTGTAAAGCGATGAAGAAGGCATTATAGAAGTATCAGAAAGGGAAAGAACTGCCTCCTCCGTCTTCTCCAGGGTTAGCTGTGCTGATTCGCTTTGGTGTGTCCCTTACTAGGCTTTTTGCTATTCCATGTAAGAGCTGGTGACCTTGGACAAGTCATTTACCCTCTAAGCCTTAGTTATATAACTTACACGTTACAGTCTCTGTTACAAAGGGCACTTGGAGAATTAAATGAAGTAGTGGTGTAGAGCAGGGGTTGGCAAACTATGGCACTAGGGACAAATCTGGCCCCCCAGCTGTTTTTGTAAATAAAGTTTTATTGAAACACAGTCATTCATTTACATATTGTCTATGGCTGCTTTCCAGCTAAAAAGGCAAGGTTGAATAGCTGTGATGGAGACCATATAGCTCATAGAACCTAAAATATTTACAGAAAAAGCTTCTTTTTACAGAAGCTTCCTGCTCCTGAGCACTATATTAACATTAAACACTAAATGTTAGCGATTTTTATTGCAATTATATCTTTAAAAAAACAAAAAAGACAAAATAGGATTTCTATTGTAGAGATTTTTCCCATAGCCTGCTTTTTCACTTGACAATATATCAAAAACATCTTCCCATGTCAGTATTTGTAGCTATGCTATGTTTTTTTTTAATAACTAGAAGTCTATACTTTTCATCCTCTTCATTATTAACACATATACTGTGTTCTTTTTTTAAATATTTTTTTATTTTTTTAAAGATTTTATTTGAGAGAGAGAGCATGGAAGAGCGAGCATGAACTTGGGGAGGCGGGTAGGCAGAGGGGAGGTAGACTCCCCACTCAGCAGAGGCGGGGCTCCATCCCAGAACCCCAGGATCATGATCTGAGCCAAAGGCAGATGCTTAGCTGACTGAGCCACCCTAGTGCTCCAAGATTTTATTTTTAAGTAATCTCTGCATCCAGTGTGGGGCTCAAACCCATGACCCTGAGATCAAGAGTTGTGTGCTCCACTGACTGAGCCAGCCAGGTGCACCTATGCTGCATTTATTTTTAATGGTAGTGTTGCAGTCCATCATGCAAATGTGCCAAACACATTTAACTTGGACCCACTTGATAGACATTTAGGATTTCCTGGTGTTTTTTTTTTTTTTTTTTTTTTTGCTTATTTCCCCTCAATATCACAAGGGTTGTTCGTGACTTTTGGGAGTCCTGGTGTTGTTCTGTTTGGAGGACCCCTCTGTATCACATCAAACACACTACAATTTACTCACATTAACACTGAATATATATATATACTCATATTTGTACACCAAAAAAATTATATATATATATATGTGTATATATATATATATATGGTGTATGAACTTGAAAAGATTTCTCTATTTCTGTTTTTGAGATCATTTGGCTCTAAGAGGCATGTTTTAAATTTCCAGCTGACTGATTTCTGGGCAATCACTGCACATTCTTGTCTTCTTGTGAAGTGAGAAATTGAACCAATTGTTTTCAAAGGCTATGAAACATTAATGAATGTTAACATTAACAATTAATGAAGTACACAGCGTCACATTTGTGGACATTTACTCAGTCATTTATTCCCTTTGATTCTGCATTTTTTATTTATGCATTTCAGAGCCAACGATTTCCTCCCCAAGGTCTCCACCGTGTTTGCGGACTCCAGAAGCAGGAGCGGACATAGTCCAAGGCCCGTGGTGCCTGGCAAATGCGTGGCCTTGTGTGTTGGAGGAGTGGCCTGGCCACAGTGTTTCCTGGGTGCATGGAGGGAAACGGGCCTGGGCTCCCAACCACCCTCCCTGCATCTGCACCAGAACAGGCTGGGGTAGACCTGCTGTAGCTGGACCTTGGGTCACATCCCTGCCCTGGCTAACACCTGCCATCACTTCCTACTTTTTACAGTGTCTCAGGCCACGTTCCTCCGGGAGTGCAGGCTTCAGCCACACTTGCCCCACATCTCACACTCATCCCACCCTCCGTCCACCCTTGCCACTCACTGTCCCTTCCACCTGGAACGCTGTTCCCTCCCCTCTGCACTTCGTGAAGGTCACTTGCCTTTCAGTGCTTGGCTTGAGTGTCACCCCCGCAGGACACCTTCCTGATCCCCCAGCTAAGTCGGGGCCTTACAGTTCTGAGCCCATGGGGGTATGGGGCATCTCTGCTGCTGGGTGCTGTCCTGGTTACCACTTCATAGATGCTGTTCTGTGATCCTTTTGTCAATGTCAGTCTCCCCGACAGAATGGTAAGTTCTGTGAGGTTTGGGACCACGTCTCAGTTTGTGCCCCATAAAATGAATTGACTAATCCCATCTGACAGATGTGTAAACGGGTACAGAGAGAGAAAAGCTCTGCCCAAGCACACAGAGCTGGAAAGAGGCCAAGCTCCAGCACGAACCCCCACCTGTCCCCGTTCCGTGATGCGCTCATGGACGGGAAAGGTGCTCGGGAGTGTTGTCTAAGAGCAAAAAGCTCAGGGCCTGGCCCACTCATAAACAATAACTCATGAAACGCTTGTTGGTCACCAGTGCCTTCCATATGTCAATCTAGGGGCTCACAAAATCCGCTGTGAGGTGGGTGTTATTACAGCCCCGTGGAGAAGCCCAGGTGCGGAGACAGAGGCCACGCATCTAGGAAGGGGCAGTCAGGTCTGACCCAGTTGGTCTGGCTCCAGAACCAGTACACACACCAGTGGGTAGGAGGTCCTCCCTGGTGGTGAACCCGTAAGTGAGGCAGTGAGTGAGGAATTTAGGGGCTGGTTCCCAGGGCAGACCCGTCAACAAGGAGCAGTTTTGCATGAACCGTGCCCCATGGAGGGTCTCCCTTCCTGCTGATTGCCAAGGACTGGATTTGAGGTTCACTTGATGGAGGTTTAGCCGCTGCCTGTGAAACTGGTAAAGTGACCAACTGTCCTGGTTTGCCAGGCACCGAGGGGCTTCCTGGGATGGGGGGCTTTCTGTACAAAGCCGGCAAAGACCCAGGCAGACCGGGGCCAGTTGGTCTCCCTAGAAATAGTCGGGAACTGGAAGCTCCCTACTTAACCCACACACCCACTTGATTTCCTGTCTCCATGGTGGAGGCCAACAGAGCTGTGGACAGAAAGGGCTTAGGGAGGAGGTCCTGCTGGGGGCACTGGCCTCACAGCTGGGACAGCAGGTGTGTTCATGCCACTCCTGAGCATGGGCCTTCGTGTTCTGTCAGTATTCTGCGTATGGGGAGCGGGCTCTGGGCCCAGAAGCCCAAAACACCAAGATGGCGGCTCCCTCTCTCTGAGGAATACTCCTCCTGCTTCCTCCCCGGGAATTCTGGAAGGCAGCTGATGCTAAGGGGGTGTTGGGGCAAGTGAGGAACAGAATAAGGAGCAACAGAAGGGCTGGGGAATGTCACTGAGCAGGGCTGTCTGATAGAAATCTGATGAGAGTTGCTTTAAGATAATTTAAACTTCTCTAGTACCAGCCACATTAAAAAGGTAAAAAGATGAAACTGACTTTGAGATACATTTTATTTAATCCAGTACATTAAAACATTATTATTTCAACCTGTAATCAAGACCAAAACTATAGAGGTATTTTACATTCTTTTCCTTTGGGCACCAAGTCTTTGAGATCCCGGGTTCCTTTTACACTTAGAGCGCCCCTCGATGTAAGCTGCATTTTCAACGGGAAGACTTGATCTGTATTTGGGCTTCTCCAAAACTTGCAGTTGAAGAAGCAGATTTGCATTCTCAAGACATTCCACGCATACTTTAAACCTTCCAGTAACTGAATCAGGTATCGGTTTTGAAATTTAAGTTAGTGCAAATTAAACATTTCGTTCCTCTGTCCCAGTAGAAGTCTTAGCTCAGTCCACATACGGCTGGTGGCTACCCCGTCAGAAAGCACAGGCCTGGAACATTTCCCCTTTTGCTCTTCCTTACTTGATATCTCTTTTCTTGCCAACATCTATAACTGGAATTTTTATTTTTAAAGGAATACGGGAGAAGTGAGATTAAAAAAACAAACAATAATTCTATGGCATGGGCTTTGATTATAACATCCAGACAAGTTCTGGATGCCCCTGTGGCACGTTAGTGACGGTCCCAAGGCCTGTGGCTTATTTTTTCAATATTCACCAGAGCCTGTTTGATGCTATATATGTGCACTTCGTTTACCTTTCAACCTCGGGGCAATCAGTTGCCCCAATCAGGAGTCCCCATGCCTGGGGTGCCTGCCGGGGCAGCATTGCTTTGGACAGGCCACAGTTCAGAGGCAATTATGACACCCGGCTCTTTCCTAATTAGCAAACTGAAGGCCAGAGATGGTTTTTATTGGTCAGATTGGTGGCCCATGACCCTGTATGCTCTATGTCAGAAACAGGTTCCCGATGGCCAAACGGAGGAAGGTACTGCCTTCGGGTCAGCTGAAGGTCAGTTCAAGTATGGGAGAGCCCCTCCCTTGTGCTCAGGAGGGACCTGTGTCCAGTCTTGGTTTAGATCTCTGCTATCTGATGCCATTTCTGGGAGTAACTCCAGATACCCCCGTGACTGTCCTAGCTGCCTTGAGTGAGGCTTTTCTACCAGGTGATGGTGAGAGTGCTTAAAGGACAGAGAGCCTGGACTGGATCAAACCTACAGGACAGGCTGAATGAGGTTTGGGACCCCTTTGCTACTGAAGGCATGTTTACTGGAAGTCTACATGGGGGTAGAGTTTATCTGAGACTTGCTTTCCTTATACCCAGGCAGGGAGGAGCTGGAGCAGTTCCCCCACCCGCCCCAGACATCTGTATTAGCTCCTGTTAACTTCACAGTGAATCCAAGGACCATGTATGACCAAACTGGCTTAACTCAGTTCAAGACACACCCTCCAGCTGCTGGATCATTCGGAGGTCCCAGTGGGGAGAACCCTGAGGGAGGGATGGGATGACTGGGGCAGGAGGTTGGCAGGAGTGGGGATGGATGTACTTTAAGAAGTTTTAAGCTACAGCTGTCTGCCAGATGGTTCAATATTTCAACAACTGTCTGGCTTTCCCGGAACTTATCAGATAATTATCAATCTTCACCAGGGACAGCATGTGTGTACCTGCATTGTGTCTTTAGGATTTGGCACACTGGGTGCCTTTCATTGTGTGGTGCCCAGTCTCCAAGATGGCACCAGTGCTTCTTATCTCCTGGTATTTATACCCTGAGACAGTCCTCTCCAACAGTGGATGGACTTTGCAATGGTCAGCTCAGCAGCCATGATGAAATACCGTAGACTGGGCCGCTAAGCAATGGAATGATATTCCTTATAGCCTGGAGGCTGGGAGTCCAAGATGCCATCACAGTTGGTTTCTCCTGAGGCCTCTCTTCATGGCTTGTAGATGGCTACTTTCTGTGTCCTCATATGGCCTTTCCTCCATGTGTAGGCATCCCTGGTCTGTCTATCTGTCTGTCTGTCTCTTTTTCTCTTCTGATAAGGATCCTCGTGATGTGGCAGGAAGTTTTATAACACATGGCCTGTGTTGATGTGGAAAGTAGAAAATGTTCCTGATGAACTGGGTGATGGAGCCCAGGCAGAGTGCCACCTGCCTCCTTCCTGGCACTTGATGTGATCTGAGGGAGAGGAGGGAGGCCAATGGAGGGACTGTTGAATCTCAAGGAGCTGGGACTTGATTGAGCTTGAAGATTCCCTGCCTGTTCACATGACAAAGGAAATGTAAGACATAAGTTCCGGGCAAAGATCAAATCCAGGGCACTCTCAGGAAAACACGCTCTGAAGAGGGAGCTGAGTGTAAGATTGTACTGTCCTTTGTCAAGCATGAACAACAATCTGAGCCAGGGTCTCAGAGACTGATTTGGGCAAAGAACAGGGCTTCTAAGAAGTGCTGTCCCTCCCACTCTTGGCAGAAGCCCAGGGCAGAGGAGCGCTTATGTCAAAGGAATATGTGGGCATGGCTTTTGCCAGTAGGGTGAACCCCAATAAGAAACACTACTGATGTGGACTGAGGGAGGCAGAGACCCACGAAAGCAAAAGAAGCCAAAGAAGCCAATGTACCCCACACATCTATAGGGAGGTAGCTGACTATAAAACTATGCATTTGCAAACATGTGATGCCTTTCCTGGAAAAGGTAGGAGGACTCAGAGGTCCAATCCAAGGAACCAGAGGGCAGAGGCGAGAGCCATGGAGGGTCATTTCTGGGTAAGAATAGGTCTAAGTCCTAATCAGGGAACTTCTAACACTTTCCTGGCTGGATTTCAGAATTGCTTTGGGCCAAGGACTCCTGTGTGTTTGTTTTTGCCTTTTCAACAGAAGGTTGAAAAGCTGTGTCCACAGCAGTCTGCTATGTCTGTCCTACCAGGGTATGTTGGGTGTGTGATGGACAGATGACCTGTCTCTTTAGTTCACAGTTCTTCAGATTGCTGGAAGTGGTACTTGAGAAGCTGAATTCAAGGAACTTCACCCAGTGAGCCCCATCTGTACCTGGACTTGATTTAGATGATGAGATACTGGGGGCGCCTGGGTGGCTCAGTGGGTTAAAGCCTCTGCCTTCGGCTCAGGTCATGATCTCAGGGTCCTGGGATCAAGCCCCGCATCAGGCTCTCTGCTCAGCAGGGAGTCTGCTTCCCCCCCTCTCTCTCTGCCTGTCTCTCTGCCTACTTGTGATCTCTGTCTGTCAAATAAATAAATAAAATCTTTAAAAAAAAAGATGATGAGATTCTGGAATTTAGGCTGATGCTGGAATAGGGTGAGACTTTGGGGGAACTCGGGAGAGGTTGAGGGAGTTGTACAAGTGGGGGAGGAGTGAATCATTGAGGACCAAAGGCAGACTGTGGTAGCCAGCCTCTAAGACAGGGCTGCCAATAATTCTTGCCTCCTGGCATTCAGGCTCCTGGGTCTTCTCCCACATGGGATAGAGCTGACTTGTGTAACGACAAAATGGCTTCTAAGACTTGGTCCTAGGAGATGTTGCAGTCTCCATCTTGCTGTCTTGGATCACTTTCTCTGGAAGAGCCAACTGCTATTCCATGAGGATTCTCCAGCATCTCTCTGGATAAGTCCATAGGGTAAGGACCTGGGGCCTCTTGCCAACAGCCATGTGAGTGTGCCATCTTGGAAGCGGATTCTCCAGCCCCAGTCAAGCCTTCAGATGATTGCAGTCCTGGCTGACAGCTTACCTGCAACCTTTAAGTGACCCTGAGCCACAGCCACCCTGCTAAGCTGCTTCCAAATTCCTGACCCACAGAAACTGTATCAAATAATATGTGTGTGTGTGTGTGTGTGTGTGTGTGTGTGTGTGTGTTTGCTTTAGGCCACTAAGTTTTGGGGGAATTTGTTATACAGCAATTGATACCTTACATACATCGCATGTTAATTTTACACCAAAAAGACAAAAACTCTTGAACTCTGGTTACTGTTACATATATTAATGTATTAAGGGGGAAGACTACAGATGCGTGCAATTTATTTTGAAATACATCAAAAATTAAAATGGATTAATGAATGAGTAGAAGGGTGGTTAGACAGATAGGCAATAGAGTATAGCAAAACGTTGATGATGGAACTGGGTGGGAGGTTTTCTGTCAAACTCTTTTTACTTTGCTGTATGTTTGAAAATTTTCATATTTATGAAATGTACAGGGGTGAATGGCTGAGTAATTTCATTCAATGTTGACGGCACATAGGGGTTCATCTGATGATGATAATGATGGACATGATATTGTTGCATTTCATTTATTCCTCTGTTTGTATATTTCACAACAGTAACTATTATTTGAATGGCTGAGGGAGTTGATTAAGTGAATGGTCTTAAGTGACACCAGGGGAGGCTGTGGAGCCACAGAGAAACCTGGGAACTCCGAGGGGCCTGGGGCTGGGATGCAGAGGACAGAGAATGGGATCCTCTCATCATAGGCATGGAAGAAAGCGGAATCATGCCAGGGACTAAGTCAAACCTGCTGGTGAGGTTAAGAGGACGGTGACAGGCAGGAAGTCCCTTCCCCAAATGTCACGAGGCCTTCTGGGGAAGAGGGCGAGGGAAGGAAATCATGAAGGCTGGTACCCCAGGGTGACCAGGCTGTGAGTGACAGCAACAGTGACTGAGACAACCACCTTAAATTTGACTGAAAAATGTTAGATTGGACTAGATTGAATATGTTATGTCTGGGAGGTAATTTTCCTCAATAAGCCTCAGCCTTCTCTTACCTGCAAAATGGTAATAAAATATTTAAAAACTTCCTAAGGCTGTTGTGGCCAAGAGGGATTTCAGGTGCCAATACTTCTGCACGGGTGAGTCAAAGCTGTAAGTTTTCAGTCCTGCTACACATCCATGCACAAGCACACACACACATTGACACACACCCAAACCCACACACTCACCACAGGGGCACTGATGTGTACCTATGTGCTGAGCACAAAGTCTGAAAGGATATGCCTCAAAAAGCCAACAGGGGATATTGGGTGATGAGGGTGACAAATGATCCTTAACTATTTTCTTACCTTCTGTTTATCCCTAATTTTTTTTTAAAGATTTTATTTATTTGACAGAGAGAGATCACAAGCAGACAGAGAGGCAGGCAGAGAGAGAGAGAGAGAGAGAGAGAGGGAAGCAGGCTCCCTGCCGAGCAGAGAGCCCGATGCGGGACTCGATCCCAGGACCCTGAGATCATGACCCGAGCCGAAGGCAGCGGCCCAACCCACTGAGCCACCCAGGCACCCTATCCCTAATTTTTTAAAAGGACTATTTATTTATTTATTTGGCAGAGAGAGAGAGAGAGAGAGGTCACAAGTAGGCAGAGAGGCAGCCAGAGAGAGAGGGAAGCAGGCTCCCTGCACAGCAGAGAGCCCGATGTGGGGCTCGATCCCAGGACCGTGAGATCATGACCTGAGCCACCCAGGCGCCCCCCTGATTTTTTTTTTAAAGGAGTCTCCACCCTGGGCTTTAACCAACAATGTGGGGCTTGAAACTACCACCCTGAGATCGAGACCTGAGATGAGAGCGAGAGTCAGAAGCTCAATGGATGGAAACACCCAGGCGCCCCCATCCCGGATTTTCTCATGGTTAAGTATGTTCTACTTTTAGAATTAGAGAAAATAAGCAAAAATCAAGACCCATCCCTGTGGCTCTAAGCCCATCCCGAAAGCCACCAGTGGAAGAGCGCGTGAATACCTTGCTTGATGACGGGAGGCCTGTGGGTACTATCCACCACAAAGGAGAACATCTTCCCACCAGCGCTCACGGGCCGCCGGTGGGGGGCAGGCGGGACCATGGTGGGTCTGGGAAACCCCTGGGACCAGCTCCTCTGCACTGGGGCTGGCCGGATGCCCTGGTGGAAGGGTATCTGTGGTGGCGAGGGTGGCTGTTTTGACTGCTGTGTGCCTCGAGTTGGCTGTGGTTTTGGCCAAGGTACCGAGCCACTCATCCATGGGAAGGAGACCTGTGGGGGCAGACAAGAGGGTCAGAGGAGGTTCCGATCTGCTGGGGGTTGTCCCTACCCTTGTCTCAGCCCTATAGTTGTGGCTCTAGGGCTCAGCTTATAAGTCTCTTCTTTCAGGAAGCCCTCCCAGGCTCTCCCAAAGTTTGGGATGGCCGTCCCCACCATGGGTCACATTTGCACCACCATTAACGGGGGGGCAGCCTTCATGCCAGGCATCCTGTCAAGAGGTTCACGTGCATTGCCCTATTTAATACACCCAATGCTCTGTCATGAGACAGGCTGAGCAAGACCTCATGACTTTCCAGATCGCAGATTTGCCAGGGAGCGTCTGAGCTGGTAGAATGTCACCTCTAAGAGAAGAGGGCTTTTGGTCTATCTTGCTCACCCCTGTATCTTCAGCACCTAGAATAAGCGTCCAGCACATACAGAGCAGACCCTCAAATACTGGGTGAAAGAAGGAATGAACAGACCACTGAGATTCACACCCAGCTTTCTAGGGTCCCCAGCCCGCTTTTTTTTTCCATCCACACTGTCCATCTCTTGGGCACTTCTTCTTTTTTTAAAATATTTTATTTATTTATTTGACAGACAGAGATCACAAGTAGGCAGAGAGGCAGGCAGAGAGAGAGAGGAGGAAGCAGGCTCTCCGCTGAGCAGAAAGCCTGATGCGGGGCTCGATCCCAGGAACCTGGGATCACGACCTGAGCCGAAGGCAGAGGCTTTAACCCACTGAGCCACCCAGGCACCCCTCTTGGGCACTTCTATGTCATCTGGCCTCTGAAGCCGAGAGATCTGGGATGGCATGGACCACAACTGTCCCCTTAACCTTTGATCCTCAACACCTACCACATCTGATTTTGGGAGAGGCCCCGTAAGTATCTATCAAGGGAATCTTCCAGCACCTGACCCGTGGAAGAGTCTGCGGCTGCTGTCCTTGAGAAGAACACCCAGCTCCACCTCCCGCAGACAAGCATATGCTGAGAGGGGCTGACTCCTGGCTTGGGCCTGGTTTAATGCCTTGGTGGTAGCTTCTCCCCGTGCCTAGCGGTGAAACAATGACAGGGGGGGGCGGGCTGTCATTTATTGCTCTTTCCTTATCCATTCCTCACAACAGCCCTGCAGGTCTCCTGATTCCTGAGCCTACCAGGCTCAGGCAGTGGTAGTGTGGGGTGGGGGTGAGGGGACTGGGATCGAGGTCTGATGATCTCTCTCTCTGTCCCTCAACCCTCACTTACTTCTCTTGAAAAAACACATTAAGTTCAAATGTTTGTCACCTATGTAAGGGCACACACCTCTCCCCCCCAACCCTCCAGTTCACATTTCTCCTTCAGCAGACTGGAGAGACTATGAACTCAGAAGCACATAGAGAGAAACAGACACTTCCAAAATACGAGCACCAGCTTGCAGAACTTCAGTCGGATTTTGTTCAGGAGGAAGGTTCTCTGCTCACTCAGGCGTCTGCACCAAGCTTTTAGCTCCAGGCTTTCCCAACAAGTCAAGGATCCTGTGCGTTCCCTCTGAAAACTTCCTTGGAGTTGGCGAGAACAGTGTTCGGGGATATCAAGCTCCACACTCCAGCTGGCTGGAGACATCTGGCCCAGCATTCCTAACCATATCGGCCCACTTTACATCTGCTTCAGGAGCAGACTTGGCAGGATTCCGAGACGCTGTCACCTTCTGCGCAGTTTCGAGTTTCTCTCCACTGTCAACACCTTAGTCTCTGCATCTGTGCCTTCTTCCTGTCTTCACTCTCAGCAGCCGTGTCCTGCTCCTGTTCTGACTTCTCCAACCATCCCGTCCCTTCCCTTCCCCACCTCTTGCCTCCATCATTCCTACAACCTTTTCCCGTCAGTTTGATAAATATTTATTGAAGGAATGGGCTGAAGGTGACAAAGTGCAAATTTTACTGTGGTTTACCCCCAGCCTGCTGGAGAACAAATCTAGAGGTTACTGGTCATGGTGGAGGAACTCCCTTTCATGCCGGGGTCCTCAGGGAACCTGCTCCCGCCAACCAACTGCAAGGATGGTAGCAGGTGTGAACACACGGGGGCGGGGCGGGGGCCTCCAGTGCTCCATGTCCCTAGTGCTCAGGCCAGAACCCGCTCAGGTCTTTTGGAGACTGGGGGGAGGAGGGGGGAGAATCCCCCACCCAATCACTGAGCTCCTTATTGTGGGTGGGGTTACAAACTCAGCCAATCACATCCCCTGCCCATTGTGATTGGTTGAGTGGTGGGGCATGTGATCCAATCAGGGCCAAGGAGACCCAAGGGTCTGAGGCTGGGCACCAGGACCTGGAAGGACGTCCCAGGCTTGAGAAAGGAGCCCCCCATGAGGGAGTGGGGCCCCAGCACGGAGAGAGGGGAGCTGTTGCTGTTTTAATTTGGTCAATCACACATAACATAAAATGTGCCATCTTAATCATTTAAAAAATATTTCATGTATTTATTTGACAGAGATCACAAGTAGGCAGAGAAGCAGGCAGAGGGGGAGGGGAAGCAGGCTCCCCGCTGAGCAGAGAGCCCGATGTGGGGCTCGGTCCCAGGACCCTGAGACCATGACCCGAGCCGAAGGCAGAGGCTTTAACCCACTGAGCCACCCAGGCGCCCCCACCCAAACCACTTTTTTTTTTTAAGATTTTTTTTTTTTTTATTTATTTGACAGATCACAAGTAGGCAGAGAGGCAGGCAGAGAGAGACAGGAGGAGGCAGGCTCCCTGCTGAGCAGAGAGCTCGATGCAGGGGCTCCATCCCAGGACCCTGAGATCATGACCTGAGCCGAAGGCAGAGGTTTTAACCCACTGAGCCACCCAGGCGCCCCATCCAAACCATTTTTAAGTGCAGGGTTCAGGAGTGCAAAGGACACGCACATTGCTGGGAGAAGATCTTCAGAAAGCTTCCATCTTGCAGAACTGAAACGCTGTCCCCATGAAACACCACCCCCCCCTTTTCCCCTCTCCCCAGCCCCTGGTGCCCACCATTCCACTTTCTGTCTCTGTGAATTTGACTCTCTAGGTACCTCAGGTAAGTGGAATCACGGAGCATTTGTCTTTCGGGGACTGGCTTACTTCGCTGAGCAGCCAGTCCTTCAGGTTCATCCACGTTGTAGCAGGAGTCAGAATTCCCTTCCCTTTTTGCATACAACACATTTTGTTTATCCATTCAGTGTCAAAGGGCTCTTTGGTTGTTTCCACTCTGGCTTTTTTGACCATGCTGCTGTGAACATGGACGTGCACACGGGGAAGCTGGCTTTGAGCCCTGGGTGCTGCCCTGAGCTGCTCAGCCCATGAGGCCAGCTAGAGCAGCACAGAACCTTAACCTTAACGTCTCTAAAGGGGGAGGGGCCAGAGACATAAATGCAGCAAAGACTCCAATCCCTGCTTTTTGGGCTCAAAAATAAAATTATAAAGCTTCCCCCCACCCCAAGCTTGTTGATTGCGATGGCTTTAGTTGGAAAGTTAAAGTTGATTTTTTTTTTCCTGGTTTGCATGCTTGCTCTATAATAAGCAAGGTCAAGGTTTTCTCAGAAATTGCTGCTGGTAACTATAAGGAAACAGGCAGGGGTAAAGCAAACACAAGAAAAAGGCTCACGTTAAAAGCTGGTTCTGGCTGTGCTCACATTAGAATGTACACAGAGCTTGGGGTCAAGGTCGGTTATCAACAAATCTGTTTTTAGAAACTTTTGTTTAAAAATACATGCTAATGCCTTTTCTTGTTCTCCTCCCACCCCCAATTCTCCAACCATATGGCACTTGAATGTTTTTTTGTTTTGTTTTTGAGGCAGCATATGTGATGGTCCTGATTTCTTCCACACTCTCTCTAAAATAGCAGGTTGTCAGCCACCTGGATTAACCATGACACACCCATTGCTGAATTTATATCAGCTTGAACAAACACCCGTCAATGATTTACTCAAGAAAACACAGCCCATTTTTTTCAGATTATCTACTTGTCCTTTGTGTTATCTTTCCAATATGTGTTTCTAGCCCTGTAAAAGGTAGCAGGGACACCCTAAAATAATCAAGGTAGTTTGCATACAGAGTGCCTACAGGATACACATATTCTGCCAGGAAGCCCTGGAGGCTGGGTACAAAGTGAAGTAGACCTTGTCCTTGGAAAGCCGGTCACGAGCTCTGCTGTTTGTAATTGCCAATACCTCTACGGCTATGAGCCACGATATCACAATATCGAGAAGGCACACATGTGCCAGAGACTGGACTGTGCACTGCACAAACGTGTTCTCATCTAATCACCAGGATAATCTCGGAGGTGGTGAGGCCTTTCTACCCTCATGTTGTGGATTAAGAAAGTGCACATCAGAGAGGTTAAATGACTTGCCCGAGGTCCCACGGCCAGGAAGCAGTGATGCTATTTGACTCTAACACCTGTGCTCCCAGAGCACTGAGACTATTTGAAGACATGATTTTATACCTGCTTTCCATACTCACAAAAGGGTCTTAAATGATTAGTGGGGAATAGGAGATTTTCTGAGTTACAAAAAAGAAAATTAGAAAGAACCACAAAACGTTGCAAGAGGTACTTGAAACAGGATTTTCTAGGAACACCGATAACTCTTTTATGGAAATGTTATTCATATGGTACACACTGGGCGCAACTCAGAGAACACCAGCCTCCACCTAAGTGGGACGGGGGCATGTCCGCTGTACCAGAGGTGTCCTGCTGGGGCCAGCCGCTACCGGCTCCTAAGAGCCAGTTACTAAATGCCCAGGAATTTCTTGAGCTGGTTGATAAACACAGCCATTAATAAAAAATCAAATTACACAAACATAGAATTAAGTGATATTGAAAACAAAGGTAACAGATAGTTAAAACTCACCCTTCCTAATTATTTCACTCTATTTTATTATTATCCATGCTCTTGAGGTTATTTAACTCTACATATGCATGTGCTACTGCTTGTCTCACTGCATCTCTGTATTCAGTGTTGTCTCACTGTCACTTGACATTGGCCTTGGTGGAAGTATTTATGTCCCAGAAATTAGG